ATATATATATATATATATATATATATATATATATATATATATATATACGCGTAAAATTATACACACTCTGTTCAAGTCTCAAACTTTTTTTCTAAGCTTTCAATCATAAATCCAAAAATATAGTATTGTTTATTCATCTAGTCCGAAGTGCGGGATGTACTCATTTTGTATATATGAGCTATAGAACTTTTGTATTAAAGAAACAAAGATCTGATGTGACAGCTGTACGAGCTAAAATTACGTTTTTTAATTTTTTTCTTATTTACTTGTTAAATCGATTGTCCCGCATATTCTTTTTGTGTGTATTTTAATTGCCTGAAAGGATTTTGCAATCTGTCAAGCCAATAAAAAGTTCTATGGTGCACTGTAATATGTCGGTAATTCCCGTCACTTTAAGATTCCCTTAACAACAGTTTCTTTTTTTTCAAGCGTCCACTATACTTGACACTCTTTTTTTATCTTTTTTTGAAAAGGTAATTTTATAGTCATATCAGACATTTTGTAATATTAACCATCTTTTTATATTCGAAAAGCGCGTCTCGGTATTTTTTGCAAAATGATTATGAGTTTTTCACGATTGATTCGTGGTCGGGCCCCACCGTGATGCACATCTTCCCTTCTTATTCGGAGGCTCGAGCCATGCTTGATGCAATCTCTCCTGCCGCTCTGCAGGGGGACCCATTGTTCTTTCTTTGCCTGTTTGAAAAAATGCGGCTTCGCTGCGTTTCTCAGAGCGAATAATTGGTTTTTCCGGCTCTACTTTGCAACGAGAGAAACCGTGTAGCTTCGATGACGTTGGCGACTGAGAAGTGATGGGATCGAACAAGCGGTGGAGCATTGGCGCACCAGGAAGATTATTTGTATATTTGGATGGCGTTGGAGGGTGTCGCCGCTGCGGTCCGACCTGCATCCATCGAGTGAGAGACCAACATCGCTCTGAAGTACCGGTCGTGAGGATCGAAAAAGATATACATATACATGTATATATACATGTATATATTGTGATATATATATATATGTGTGTGTGTGTGTGTGTGTGTGTGTGTGTGTGTGTGTGTGTGTGTGTGTGTGTGTGTGTA